TGGACTGGCCCTGGCCCCTGGCTATTAGGGAATTTAGGAAGTGAGCTAGCAGATGGAAAAGTCATATTACCTCTCTCTCTCCCTCTCCTTCCCTCCCTCCTTCGCTTCCTCCCTCTTTCTCCATCTCACTTCCTCCCCTTCTGTCTTTCCCACTCTCTGTGGCTCTACCTTTCAAATTAATAACTAAACTATCAGTTGAAGTAACCTTAATTCATTTGTTTTTAAAGATTTATTTATTTGAAAGGCAGCGTATAGAGAGGTGAAGGCAGAGGCAGACAGATCTTCCATCTGCTGGTTCACTCCCCAAATGGCTGCAATGGCCAGGGCTGAGCCAGACCAAAGCCAGGAGCCAAGAGTTTCTTCTGAGTCTCCCTTGTGGGTACCGGTGTCCAGGTACTTGGGCCATCTTCTTCTTCTTTTCCAGGTGCTTTAACATGGAGCTGGATTAAAGTGGAACAGTTGGGTCTTGAACTGGCACCCATATGGGATGCTGGCATCACAGTTGGTGGCTTAATCTCATGCCATAACATCCTCCCCCCCAGCTTGTATTTATTTTTTCTCTTTTTAAAAGCTTATTTATTGGAGGGTGAACCAACGGCAAAAGGAAGACCTTTCTCTCTCTGTCTCCCTCTCTCACTGTCCACTCTGCCTGTCAAAAAAAAAAAAAAAAAAGCTTATTTATTTATTTATTTGAAAGAGTTACAGAGGGGCAGAGCGAGATTGGTCTTCCATCCACTGGTTCACTCCCCAGATGGCAGCAATGGCTGGAGCTGCGCCAATCAGGAGCTGGGCTCTTCTTCCCGGTCTCTCACGCAGGTGCATGGGCCCAAGGACTTGGGCCATCTTCCACTGCTTTCTCAGGCTATGGCAGAGAGCTGAATTGGAAGAGGAGCAGCCAGGACTCAAATGGCACCTATATGGGATGCCGGCACTGCAAGTGGCGGCTTTACCTGCTACGCCACAGTGCTGGCCCCTGTTTATTTTTGACAATCATTTGACAGAAACTAGTCAAAGGGATTAATTGAGCATAGGACCCTCTGATTTTTGCTCTTCAAACTTCCATGGAAAGATGTTTATGGAAATAACTTTCCGTCTCCAGTTATTTCACCATTGTATCTACTGCCTTCATTTTGGATAACACCTTTCCAGTTAATACTTTAGGTTAAATAGTTACCATAGTGTTCTTAAGTTGTATGTTTGGTAAAGTTCTGCTTTTTTTCTTTTTTTTTTTCAATTTTTTTAACTTTTATTTAATGAATATAAATTTCCAAAGTACAGCTTATGGATTACAATGCCCCCCCCCCCCCCCGCAAGTTCTGCTTTTTTTCAACTCTTTCAGAATTAGTGTGTTCTAAACTTGATGTTGTTGGAAAATGTTCAAAATGAAGGCATGAATACAGCTCTTTTTTTTTTTTTTTAAGGTTTATATATTTGAAAGGCTGAATTAGAGAGAGAGGAGGAGGGAGGGAGGGAAGGAAGGAAGGAGGGAAGGAAGGAAAGGGAGATTGAGAGATCAAGATCTTTCATCTGCTTTGTTCACTCCGTAAATGGCTGCAATGGCCAGATCTGGGACAAGCTGAAGCCAGGAGCCTGGAACTCCATCTGGGCTCCCCCATCGGTGGCAGGGGCCCAAGTACTTGGGTCATCTTCTGCATTTTTGCCAGACACATTAGCTGGGAACAGAGTTAGAAGTGGAGCAGCCGGGACGTGAACCAGCACCTATATGGAATGCTGGCATTGCAAGGGGTGCCTTAACCCACTACGCCACAACACTGGCCTCATGGATGCAGTTTTTGCTTCTTGAGTTCTTCCTACCCCAAGTTCAGGACTAGAGAGTTCAATTTTGTTTGCTTCTCATAAAGTAAGCAGTGTTACAATCCCTATCCATATGGGTGGTTATCTGCTTACTAACTAGGATACTTCTTGGGCTTATTTAGACTAAATGTGCTAACCTGTCATATGGTACCTAACTTAATTTTCCCAATGAGAAATTTGTGAAATTCTCCATCTTTGTTCTGTTTAATAAATGTGGATACCTGTAATATGTGGGACTGTGCTAGGTGTGTTCCTTGGATTACTGAATTAAAGGTACTGCATTTGTACATTAGCAAGTTTGTAACTCGAGCAGGAGTATATTTTTTACTTTTCAGATATGATCTTATTGTGTTAGAGTTGTGAATAATGACATATTTACAGATGAGGAGAAAATGAATAATGTTTCAGTCAGTCATGTTTCTGAGGAAGTAGTAGTTCTGATCTTCAAGGGATTAAATTTTCTTGTTTCACTGTATCATAGTGTGATAGCTAACTGAATTTTATAAAGAAACAAATGGAGACTTAGTTGCTGCTGTAACTAAGTATCAAAGCCCTAGCCCTAGGTGACTTAAAGTAACAAATTTATTGGCTTTCAGTTCTAGAGGCTAGAATTCAAGGTGTCAGTCAGCAGGCCCATACTCTCTGGTAGCTTGGGGCAGGGGGCAGAATCCCTCCTTGCTCTTCTGTATTTGCTGGAAATTTTTTCTTGGCTTTCAGTATATTGCTGCAGTTTTATGGCCTCTTTGAGGCTTGATATCCTTTTCCTGCTGTGTCTGTGTCCAAATTTCCCCTTTTTATAAGGATATAAGTTAAATTAGATTAAAGTTCACCTTAATGACTTCATTTTGTAAATTATTTATTTATTTATTTGTTTATTTTGCCAGGCAGAGTTAGACAAATAGAGAGAGAGAGAGAGAGAGTTATAGACAGCGAGAGAGAGAGACAAAGAGAAAGGTCTTCCCTCCGTTGACTCACTCCCCTAATTGGCTCACTCCCCTAATAGCCGCCACGGCCGGCGCTATGCTGATCCGAAGCCAGGAGCCTGCTGCTTCCTCCTGGTCTCCCACGCGGGTGCAGGGACCCAAGCACTTGGGCCATCCTCCACTGCCCTCCCGGGCGACAGCAGAGAGCTGGACCGGAAGAGGAGCAACCGGAACCAGCACCCAGCGCCCCAACCAGGACTAGAACCGGAGTGGTGGTGCCACAGGCGGAGGATCAGCCAAGTGAGCTACGGCACCGGCCAATGACTTCATTTTAACTTGATTACCTCTTTAAAGACCCTTTCTCCAAATAGTCACATTTTGAGGTACTGGGAGTTAACGACTTAAATAATTTGGGGGTGAGGGGTGCAAAACTTAGCCCATAACAGCTCGGTTTTGTACTTGTTTAATTAAATGTACTCGGGGCCGGTGCATTGGCTCACTTGGTTAATCCTCTGCCTGCGGCGCCGGCATCCCATATGGGCGCCAGGTTCTAGTCCCAGTTGTTCCTCTTCCAGTCCAGCTCTCTGCTGTGGCCTGGGAAGGCAGTGGAGGATGGCCCAAGTGCTTGGGCTCCTGCACCAGCCTGGGAGACCAGGAAGAAGCTCCTGGCTCCAGGCTTTGGGCCGGCGCAGAGCCGACCATAGTGGCCATTTGGGGATTGAACCAATGAAAGGAAGACCTTTCTCTCTGTCTCTCTCTCACTGTCTATAACTCTACCTGTCAACATTAAAAATAATAAATAAATAAATAAATGTACTCCTTGATTACCTCTGTGAAGACATTGTTTCCAAAAATTACATTCTGAGGTACTCTGGATTAGAACTTTAACTGATATGTTTTAGGAGGAAGGGGAGTTACAGTTCACTGTAACTAATCTCAAAATCTGGGTAACTTGCAGGATAATATATATATATATATATATATATATATAAATATATATATATATATATATATAGTATATTTGGCTCAAGCTGACTTACCTCAAACGGTAGAGTTAGAAACATACCAGGGGATTCCAGTTCAATCCCAGCAAGGTGGCATGTACCAATGCCTTCTCACTAGTCCCAGTGATCAATTTCTGTTCACAATTGATCATAATGATAGGACTAAGAACCAAAGGGATCACATAAATGAGAATAGTGTCTGCAAATACTAGCTGATAGAATAAAAAAGGGAGAGAATGATCCAACATGGGAAGTGAGATACACAGCAGATCCATAGAATGGCAGATGTCCTAAACAGCACTCTGGCCTCAGAATCAGCCCTTAAGGCATGCGGATCTGGCTGAAAAGCCCATGAGAGTATTTCAGGCATGGAAAGCCAAGACACTCTGGGGGGGGGAAAAAACCTAAATGAAAGATCTCCATGAGTGAGATCCTAGTGGAAAGAACGGGTCATCAAAGAAGGAGGTACCTTTCTCTGAAGGGAGGAGAGAACTTCCACTTTGACCATGGCCTTGTCTAAATATGATCAGAGTCGGTGAACTCAGGGGGCTTCCATAGCCTTGGCAACTCATGACAAGTGCCTAGGGTGATTACTGATGCCATAAACAAGAGTGTCAATTTGTTAAGTCAACAACAGGAGTCACTGTGCACTTACTCCTCATGTAGGATCTTTGTCCTTAGTGTGCTGTACATTGTGATATAATGCTATAACTAGTACTCAAACAGTATTTTTCACTTTATGTTTCTGTGTGGGAGCAAACTGTTGAAATCTTTACTTAATGTATGCTAAACTGATCTTCTGTATATAAAGAGAATCGAAAATGAAAAAAAAATTGTTAAGTCAAAAAAATATATAGTATATTTGTAATACAGAAGATTTCACAATACAGTTTGATAATCATTATATTTGGATAGAATTAACTTTAAAAATGGTTCTTATTCGTACCCCACCCACTTGATTTAAAAATTACCAACAAAACTTAAATGTTAATGTTAGAAAAAACATATCTATATATAGCTAGATATATAGATAATAGCTGTGTTTCCTGTAGCTCATATGGAATGTTGTTAAGAATTTATTGGAGTCCAGAGAAGATGCTAATATCAGATAGCATAAAACAATAATGGTTTCAAAATCACAAAATTACAGGGCTATCAATTTTATTTTGATAGTTTGGCTGGAATATTTGGGTAACTAAAGATATAGTAAGATAAGTTGTGAAAGAAGTATGTCAATATCTTTTTCTGTCTTTTCTAGTTGGAGAATGGATACACTTTATTTGACTATGATGTTGGACTGAATGATATTATTCAGCTACTAGTTCGCCCAGACTCTGATCTTCCTAGCACATCTAAACAGACTGATATGCAGGTCAAACCATGTTCTAATAGTCCACCTAAAGTCAAGAAAACTTCAAGAGTGGGATCTTCCAGTCAACCATCCACATCAACTCGTGTCTGTCTTATTGATCCTGGCATTGGACTATATAAGGTATGTAGGCTTTAGACTTTGTTGATTATGGAAATACAGATTTCTGTTCTCTGCAGGATGGTGTGAATTAAGAAGCATTAATTGACATTTGAAAGTAAAGATTGGGTTATTTATATTTTGAGTTTTAAAATGGCCTTTAAAAATTTCTGTGAAATAGACAAATGTATGAAACATATATACAAAGAGTAATAAAGCAACTGCCTGTGTAATATCACCAAGGTTAAGAAGTAAAATGATGGGCCGGCACCGTGGCTCACTTGGTTAATCCTCCGCCTGTGGCGCCAGCATCCCATATGGGCACCGGGTTCTAGTCCCGGTTGCTCCTCTTCCAGTCTAGCTCTCTGCTGTGGCCCAGGAGGCTGGTGGAGGATGGCCCAAGTGCTTGGGCCCCTGCACCCACATGGGAGACCAGGAGGAAGCACCTGGCTCCTGGCTTCGGATCGTCGTAGCTCCGGCTGTAGTGGCCATTTGTGGGGTGAACCAACGGAAGGAAGACCTTTCTCTCTGTCTCTCTCTCACTAACTCTGCCTGTCAAAAAAAAAAAAAAAGCATTAAATGTTAAAAAATTGGTGGATAAAGTAATTTATTTTAAAAATATAAATAGACATAATTTTGGCTACATTGAATTGTTTTAAACCTGCGAGGAATAGATAATTAGGCTGTTACTTAAATTGATTCACAGCATGAAGAAGGAAAGCTTCCTACTGATTTATGCATTCTGTTTAACATTGATACTAAGATGGGACAAAAAGTATGTCACATCATTAACATTGAAGTAAACCTAAGTTATATTTAACAGTTATGACTATATTGATACAATAACTTGATTAAAATGTGTTTTCAGGAAATGTGGATAGTTCATTACTGTGAAATGCTTTAACATAATTCCTTGTATTAAAAAACTAAAGAAAAGTTTTCTAATTTAAAATGTTTTCTGCATCTAAATACAAGTTTGAATCCATTCCTAATTAAAAGAAAAAATCCTTGGCAAGAGGAACAGATGGAATAGGTGAATATGTTAAGGCATAGTCGGCATCATGTGAATGGCAGAGAAACCAGAAGCATTCCCATTGAAGACATGAGTCAACAAGAAAACCACTAGTACTGCTGTTATTTGACATCTTTCTAGAACTGCTAGATAATGCAGTTAGGCAGGAGAATAAAATGAAGTGTACATATTAGAGAAGGCAGAGTTACTGTTATGGATACCTGGAAAAACTGAGAAAATGCCTTAAAACATTATGATGGGCTGGAGCTGTGGCGTAGTGGGTAAAGCTGCTGCCTGCAGTGCCGGCATCCCATAAGGGCGCCAGTTCTAGTCCTGGCTGCTCCACTTTGGATCCAGCTCTCTGGTGTGGCCTGGGAAAGCAGTAGAAGATGGCCCAAGTCCTTGGGCCCCTCACCCCCATGGGAGACCTGCAGGAAGCTCCTGACTCCTGGGTTTGGATTGGCATAGCTCCGGCCATTGCAGCCAATTGGGTAGTGAATCAATGGATGGGAGACCTCTCTCTGTGTGCCTCTCCTTCTCTGTGTGTAACTCTGACTTTCAAATAAATAAATAAATCTTTAAAAAAAAATTATGAAGAGGGACCAGCGCTGTGGCTTAGGTTAAGCCTCTGCTTGTGGCACTGGCATCCCATATGGGCACTGGTTTGAGTCCTGGCTGCTCCTCCTCTAATTCAGCTCTCTGCTAATGGCCTGAGAAAGCAGTGGAAGATGGCCCAAGTGCTTCAGCCCCTGCACCTGTGTGAGAGACTTGGAAGAAGCACCCCTGTGGGAGACCCAGAGGAAACTCCTGGCTCCTGACTTCCGATCAGTCCATTTCTGGCCATTGCAGCTGTTTGGGGAGTGAACCAGCAGATGGAAAACCTCTCTGTCTCTCCCTCTCTCTGTCTGTAACTGTGCCTCTCAAATAAATATTAAAAAGAACATTATGAAGGGTCAGATTTCAAAGGTAACACTGAGATTAATAATTTTCTTTGCTACATTGCATTAGTAGAGGAGAAGAAAATTTGCAGTAACAGAAGGTAGAATCTGGGAATAAATGAAGACATTTAAGTTAGAGCAGTACTCAGTATACTGCTCACAATTTAGACAGACTTTTTGGCAGTGGAGGCATAACTTGCCTTTTTTATTCATCACCTGTTGATTTGTCCCTCTTTAAATATATGTTTTAGTCTATGTTCTGTTGGCTAACAACACAACACCACAGATTGGAGCAGTTATAAAGAAGAAAGGTTTATTTTGAGTCACAGTTCCATTTGCTCCCTAATCATCTGGTGATGGCCTTGTTGGCAAAGTTCCAAGGTGGCAGGTAACATCTTGTGACAAGAGACAGGGAATACACACGTGTGTGGTCTCTCTACCCTCTTCTTAGAAAGCTAACAATATTCAATCACGGGAGCTCCATTTTGGTGATCTTAACTAATTCTGTTCACCTAGTAATGGTCCTACCTCTAGTCAACATACTTGGATTAAGTTTTTACCTTCTTAAATACTCACAGTAGGAGTGAATTTTCAGAGGACAAACCATAGCAATACCAGTACTTGTTTTTTTTTTTTTACATTGTTATTTTTTAAATAAGCTGATTATTTTAGAACACCTGTAAGTTTACAGCAAAATTGCAAAGGTAGTACACAGAGTTCTCAAATACCTCATATCCAGTGCTCTCCTTAATATCTTAGAGTAGTATGTATATTTTTTAGAATTAATGAGCTGTATTTCCTTACTTTTACCTGACGTCCATCATTTTTCTGTTCCAGGATGCCATCCAGCTTGTAGTTGTCAAGCCTCCTCACAGTCTTCTTAGCTGGGACAGTTTCTCAGACTTTGCCTGTTTATGATTACCTTGACAGCTTTTAAAAGTTTGGCCAGATAGTTTAAAAAAAATTACCCCTACTATGATTCTGCTGTTATTCTCCTTATCATTGGACTGGATTTATGTGTTTTGGGAGGCAGATCATTAAAGTAAATTGCTGATTTCACTTCATCTTTTCTATAAAATGTGCTACAATAGTCTATTTGTTAAAGATAACCTAAGTTTTTTATCATTAAGGTATTAACTTAATCATCTGGCTGAGGCAGTGTTTGTAATGTCTCACTATTTTTAAATAAGAAGCCACCTCTCCTTCCATACGGTACTCTTTAAGAGGAAGTTGTCATATGTGGCCCCCACTTAAGGAGTAGGGAGCTATGTACGCTGCTGCTGTCACCATGGGAGATGTCTCTTACCCCATTTATTCAGTCATTTGTATGACTATTAAGCTTTATTGGCCGGCGCCATGGCTCACTAGGCTAATCCTCCGCCTTGCAGCGCCAGCACACCGGGTTCTAGTCCCGGTCGGGGCGCCGGACTCTGTCCCGGTTGCTCCTCTTCCAGGCTAGCTTTCTGCTGTGGCCCGGGATTACAGTGGAGAATGGCCCAAGTACTTGGGCTCTGCACCCCATGGGAGACCAGGATAAGCACCTGGCTCCTGCCATCGGATCAGTGCGGTGCACCGGCCACAGCGCGGCGGCCGTGGCGGCCATTGGAGGGTGAACCAATGGCAAAAGGAAGACCTTTCTCTTTGTCTCTCTCTCACTGTCAAAAAAACAACAAAACAAAACAAAAAAACTCACACTTTATTATTACTTTTTACCTTCTTTCTGGCTATAGTTTAGAACCAGCTTCCTTTGAATTTGATTTGTTTTGTGCAGTGAATGGATGAATATTTTATGAAGATGAATTTTTCATTATTTATCTGCAGATCTGAGATTAATCAAGGTTAAGCTGTTCAGATTAACTTAAAATCTTTATATTTAATGAACTTCTAGTCAGCACCCCAGCATGTCTCCCTTCCCCAATCTGATTCAGAAAAGCATCATGAGAAACTGTCTCTCAACAGGTCTTTGCTTTATATTTTCAGTGTTCGTGCTCTGACTGTCAACTCCCTAATTTAAACTCTTTTTCTATAAAAATTATTAATGTTTCATATTAACATGCAGTATATATAATTAAGGGTTTTAGCTTTGTCGTCATATTTGGTTTCAAATTCTAGTTCAAATACATCTTATTTCTACAAACTTAAGTCAATTCTTTATTAAGGTTCACTTTGCCAATTTAGGAACATATTAGAACCTGGTAGTTAAACTCTCAAAAGGCTGTTATTTTTATAGTAATATATTTAAAGCTGCATTTAACCTTTCTTGTTACTTGAAGTGCCTAAAAGAGATTTATTTGCATTTTTGGATGAAATTCAGTAATTATAAATAATTGAAATTTTTATTAGTGATGCTATTTTTTTGCATAGACGTGTTTGTTTCTGGATAGTTAATTCTTTCTATGAATATTTGAATATCTAGTATATATTTGTGTTGTGGATAGAGAGATAAGCAAGTGATATTGTCCCTGCTTTTATGGAACTTACTAGGTAGTAACTTCTTAGCTGAACTGAAAATTACTTAGAAGCTGCTACTTTTGAATTGATCTGTTTTAAATTTGCTTTAAATTTCATTTCTTATACTGTAAGTCTGAGTAGTTAAATCAAAATTTCACTAAATTGCTTTTATTTTTGTGTGTGTTTATTTAATACTTAACCTTAGAGGCATAGAGACAGAAAGAAATAAACAGAGACCTTCCATTTCTTGTTCACTCCTTAAATGCTTGCAATGGCTTGAGGATGGCCAGGGCTGGGTCAGGCTGAAGCGAGGAGCTGAGAACTCAATCCAAGCCTCTCACATGAGTGGCAGGAACCTAATTACTTGAGCCATTGCCCCCTGCTTCCCAAAGTCTACATTGGGAGTAGAGCCAGAATTCAAACCCAGGTACTGTGGTGTGAACATGATATTGTAACTTTAAGACCACACACCTGCTCCTGAGAATGATTTTTGCCTTTATCTTGAATTCTTGCATATATCACTTTTATTTTGTGAAGATTTTCTTTTGATAATTGTAGTGCTTTCTATAATTAAAATTGATATTTAGATGAGTGAAGTAAAAGTTTTGGATTTTTCATTCCTTTTGCATAAAATATTGTTGGACTTCATAAGCAAGGTGAAAGGTGAATTTTTTTTTTTGACAGGCAGAGTTAGACAGAGACAGAGAGAAAGGTCTTCCTTTTCCTTTGGTTCACCCTCCAAATGGCCGCTACGGCCGGCACGCTGCGGTTGGTGCACCGATCCGAAGCCAGAAGCCAGGTACTTCCTCCTGGTCTCCCATGTGGGTACAGGGCCCAAGCACTTGGGCCATCCTCAGCTGAGAGCTGGACTGGAAGAGGAGCAACCAGGACAGAATCCCCAGCTGGGACTAGAACCCGGGTGCCAGCGCCGCAGGTGCAGGATTAGCCTAGTGACCCTTGACGCTGGCCCAAGCAAGGTGAAAGGTGAATTTTCAAATTTACTCAAAACTGGAATAGGTAGACAATATTAAATAATCAACAAGAAGAGCCCATGAGAGTATTTTGGGCATGGAAAGCCAAGACACTCTGGGCAAAAAAAAAAAAGGACCTAAATGAAAGATCTCCACGTGTGAGATCCAAGTAGAAAGAACGGGCCATCAAAGAAGGAGGTACCTTTCTCTGAAGGGAGGAGAGAACTTCCACTTTGACTATGACCTTGTCTAAATAAGATCGAAGTTGGTGAACTCAAAAGGTTAACATAGCCTTGGCAACTCATGACTAGAGCCTAGGGAGATTACTGACTCCATAAACAAGTGTGTCAAATTGTTAAGTCAACAACAGGAGTCACTGTGTACTTACTCCTCATGTAGGATCTCTGTCCTTAATGTGTTGTTCAGTGTGAATTAATGCTATAACTAGTACTGAAACAGTATCTTACACTTTATGTTCTGTGTGGGTGCAAACTGATGAAATCTTTACTTAATATATACTAAATCGATCTTCTCTATATATAAAGAGAATTGAAAATGAATCTTGATGTGAATGGAATGGGAGAGGGAGTGGAAGATGGGAGGGGTGCGGGTGGGAGGGAAGTTATGGGGGGGAAAAAGCAATTGTAATCCATAAACTGTACTTTGGAAATTTATATTTACTAAATAAAAGTTTAAAAAAAATCAACAAGGTGAAATTTTAATCTGAAGTTATTACCCAATATCATTATTGTTTGGTCCTGTTGGTAACTTTGAACAATATTTGGTCAGTTTTAGAGCTTCTCATATGTTGTTACAAGAGACAAGATAACACTAACACTTTTGAAGGGCCTATTGAAGGTTGTGAAGAGGCTGACTTCATCCATTGTCAATGTACACTAAACATTAATTGAATCACGTTGTTGTAGGTTAAGAACTAGAGTTTGTTTTCTGAAGAAAGGTGGGCCTTGTTTTTCTTCTTTGAGATGCACAGTAGGGTAGACAGACACATAGGAAGAGAGGCAGAGAGAGGAGGAGTGGTAGAAAGAGGGAAAGACACTGGAGAGAGACACACATGGAAGGGGGAGGGGGAGAGGGAGATAGAGTGAGAGAAGGAGACATAGAAGGAAGAGGGGAGGGAGACAAGGAGTGAAGAAGAGAGAGAAGGGGAGGGAGACACAGAGAAGGGGAGAGGAGGGAGCGGAGGGGGAGGGACAGATAAACACCCTCAGTCTTGCCCCATCCCCAATGTACAACCCACGAAGTAGGTGAAGCAGAGAGCAAGAGAGAGACAGAAAGAGAATGTATACTCCCATTTGTTGATTCATTTTCCCAATTCCTACAGTGACTGGGGACTGGGCCAGGGCTGAAACGGGGAACACCATCCAGATCTCCCATGTGGATAGCAGGAACTCAAGTTACTTGAGCAATAACTGTTGCCTTCCAGGTCTGCATTTGTAGAAAGCTGGAGTTACGAGCTGCAGCAGGGAACTGAACCCAAGTACTCCAGTAGGGGATATAAATCTCTAACCCCTAGGCTTAAATGCACTTGCTAGTGTGGACTTTTGATACCTGCACTGATTTTAACTTTGTTTTTTAGAATGTGGAATCTTTGTATGACTCAATAAAGTTGTACTTTTGAAATAGCTTCCATCCCAGCCTAAATGAGTGTTTAACAAGATGGTGATGGTAAGTTTTTAGGGTTTAGCAGAACATGCAATAATGTTGAACATTTTACATTTTCATTGTAAGAAGTGCAGGAGGCCGGCACCGCGGCTCACTTGGCTAATCCTCCACCTGCAGTGCCAGCACCCTGGGTTCTAGTCCCAGTTGGGGTGCCGGATTCTGTCTCGGTTGCTCCTCTTCAAGTCCAGCTCTCTCCTGTGGCCCGGGAGTGCAGTGGAGGATGGCCTGGGTGCTTGGGCCCTGCACCCACATGGGAGACTGGGAGGAAGTACCCGGCTCCTGGCTTCAGATCGGCGCAGCGCACTGGCTGTAATAACCATTTGAGGGGTGAACCAATGGAGGGAAGACCTTTCTCTCTGTCTCTCTCTCACTATCTAACTCTGCCTGTCGGAAAAAAAAAAAGTGCAGGAAAGAAGAAAACTGTCAGTAATTTTAGTAAAAATCATTGATATTTTAGGATATTGTAGTGTGCTTTGTGTCCACATTGCAATACTTCATAGTTTACTTTTTTGATTATGTTTTAGACAAAATAAAAAGTAGAGTTTAATAAAATATTATGAAGTCATTATCTATAAACACTATCCAAATTACAAAATAAAATAGCAGAAGCCCCGGCACTGTGGTGTAGTGGGTAAAGCCAACGCCTGCAGTGCTGGCATCCCATATGGGCGCTGGTTTGAGTCCCAGCTGCTCCACTTCCTATCCAGCTCTCTGCTGTGGCCTGGGAAAGCAGTAGAAGATAGCCCAAGCCCTTGGGCCCTGCACCCATATGGGAGACCTGGAAAGAAGCTCCTGGCTTCGGATCCACGCAGCTCCGGCTGTTGTGGCCAACTAGGGAGTGAACCAGCGGATGGGAGACTAATCTCTCTCTCTGTGCCTCTACTTCTCTCTCTGTGCAACCTTGACTTTCAAGTAAAAATAAATAAATCTTAAAAAAAAAAATAGCAGAAGCTTCAGGAACTTCCTTTGTGACCTCTCCTGTATAACTCCCTTTTCTGTAGTAGTGACCATTACCCGAGCTTCTATGATAATCATTTCTTTACTCTTTATTAATTTTATCTTATTGTTGACCTTTAACCTATTACTCTGTTTATGCAACCCTAATACACTGACTTCTGAATTTTTTGTAAATGAAACAGTATTGTGTTTTTTATTTATAACTTTGTGAAGAAACATGGTATGAATCATGTCCACAGTTGGAGAAACCTATGTTCTAGCAGAGTATGGTAATAAAACTGAGTTTTAATGAGTTTAAACATTGGAAATAATGCTATTTTATGGAGACATGATTTATTTGTATGTACTATATACTTGCTGGGTTGGCACATTCTATGAATTTTTTTTCGAATACACTATAAAATATGAGTCTGGGACAAGTGAAATTAACTTTTTCAAGGTTACACCTGGTAGTAGGTGGAAGGACTTGAACCTAGGTTTTGCCTGCAGACCAAGAAAGTATTTAGAAATATAGGGGACTGGTGCTATGGCGTAGCAGGTAAAGCTGCCTCCTGCAGTGCTGTTCGAGTCCCGGTTGCTCCACTTATGGACTGGGAAAGCTGTAGAAGATGATCCAAGTCCTTGGGCCCCTGTACATGCATGGGAGACCTGGAAGAAGCTCCTGGCTCCTGGCTCCAGATCGGCCCAGTTCTTGCCATTGCAGTCAATTGGGGGAGTGAATCAGCAGATGGAAGACCTCTCTCTCTCTGCCCCTGCCCCTGTCCCTGCCGCTGCCTTTGCGTTTCCTTCTCTGTGTAACTCTTTCAAGTAAATAAATAAATCTTAAAAATGAAATTGTAAAAAATATACCCAGTAAATGGTAAGCCCTCAAATATTTACCATTAATATTGTTTTATCTTAAAATTGTTCTTCCTTGCCTTCCATACTTCAGTTTTTTTTTTTTAAATCAAATAATTGGACATGGAAGAACATTACTAAATATGGCCATATCAGTTCTTATGTCATGCACAAACAACCAACTGGGAATCCATACTCCCCACCACACTTGCCTTGTCTAACGCTGAAACACCAAATCAATCCCCTGCCCTAATCACAGGGGCCTTTCTTGGGAAATGTTACTTTTTTTTTTTTTTTACTAATAAAAAAAATTGTATTTACTTAGAAGCATTCAGAATGTCAACAAAACAGCTGCAACTTTTTTTTTTTTTTTTGCAATTACAGAGTGGTATTCAGTTAACAGAACAACAATTATTTCGTATAAGCTGCATCAGAGACAACTGAAGATGAAAAAACTACCGTCCCCATATATAACTAATTTGTGCTGTGCACCAACAAGAACCTGCTTTAAATTTCCATGCCAATTTACAACCCCCATACTGTACCAGGCAAGGTTAGTGGCTATTGAAAATACCACCAGGACAGGGCTATCTAAAGACACATTCGGTAGTGTGTTAACTATACAAAAAAAGACACTGTACAGTTTAAAAACAAATCTTACACAGCCTTACATTTCAATTTTTTTTCTTTAAAAGGAGTGAGTTGTGTACAGGGGGGTTAAATGCTTTATAGACAAGAAAAAAAAACTGCGCTAGAACCAACTTATTCATCATCATCATCTTCTTCTTCATCTTCATCTTCCTCGTCTTCCTCTTCCTCCTCATCCTCTTCGTCTTCTTCATCCTCCTCCTCTTCCTTCTTTTTCTTGCTCTTTTCAGCCTTGACGACTCCCTTTTTCGCTGCATCAGGTTTTCCTTTAGCTCGGTATGCAGCAATATCCTTCTCGTACTTTTCCTTCAGCTTGGCAGCCTTCTTCTTGTAGGGCTGCTTGTCATCTGCAGCAGTGTTATTCCACATCTCTCCCAGTTTCTTTGCAACATCACCAATGGACAGGCCAGGATGCTCTCCTTTGATTTTGGGGCGATACTCAGAACAGAACAAGAAAAAGGCCCAAGGAGGCCTCTTGGGCGCATTGGGATCCTTGAACTTCTTTTTTGTCTCCCCTTTAGGAGGGATATAGGTTTTCATTTCTCTTTCATAACGAGCCTTGTCCGCCTTTGCCATGTCTTTAAATTTTCCCTTCTCTTTAGCAGACATGGTCTTCCACCTTTCTGAGCACTTCTTAGAAAACTCTGAGAAGTTGACGGAAGCATCTGGGTGCTGCTTCTTATGCTCCTCCCGGCAAGTTTGCACAAAGAATGCATATGATGACATTTTGCCTCTCGGCTTCTTAGGATCTCCTTTGCCCATGTTTAGTTATTTTTCCTCAGCGAGGCACAGAGTCGCCCAGTGCCCGTCCGGCTCTCACTTGCCCCGGCGCTGTCTCTATGGAGCTCAATGTACTGCAATGGCTGTGAGAGTGGGAGCCAGACGCAGCCTCCTCACTCTCTCCGCTCTGTAACCGAAATGTTACTTTTTCAATGGCATTCAGGTCTCCATGGTGTGATTCAGTTACCTCTATAAATTAAAATCTTGCAGGTACAACTGAAACATTCACCCTCACAAATTGTTTTCCTCTTTTGTTATGTTGGCTCTGTATGTTGGTCCTTTTCTTTTGACTAATTACTTCAGTTCTTAATTTCTGTTAGATTACTTAGGTTACCATGGCAGTATCCTCTGTTTTTATATTAATTATGCAGGCTTAAGTATTTTTCTTCTGAATTGCTATCAAAACTCCGGCTTTACGTAAGAGATTTAGCTTCTGTGCAGTTCAGTTCATTTAATTTGGCCTCAGGGTGTCTGTGTGATGTGCAAAAACTTTGAAGTTAAGAGCATTTTTCTCCTACTCATTTTGTATACATTATTGTGAGTGGTTCACTGTGTTAATAGTACAGACAGTAAGGCTTGAAGTTCTTGTTACCAGTTATAACTATAGATTTATTCAAAGAATGTCGTACCTTGTGACATTCTGTTGTATATATATTTAAACAGTGGCAGTATCTCAGGTTGATTTAGGTGACTCTTAAGTCTAATTGTGTTGCCGATATTGAGGTATCCAGATATTAGATGTCTGCTGGTTTCATATATTTGATAGGCAAATTTAATATTTTTTTATTGTAAAATTTTGCTAGGGAAGGAGAAAGAGAAAGCAGGAAGTGGGCCAGTGCTGGAGCCAGGAGTCAGGAACTCAATCCATGTCTGCATGTGGGTGGCGGAAACCCAATTATTTGAGCTATTATTGCTGTCTTCCTGGGTCTGTATTGGTGGGAAGCTGGAATCTGGCTGGGAATTGAGCCTGGATACTCCTGTGTGGGACATGATATCTTAACAGCTAGAATGAACACCTGCTGTCAAATTCAGTGTTGCTTTATACCTGTTACTGCCCATTGTAACACTTACATTGTTGTATTTTGTGCAGTTGCCATTTTAATGTCAAGTACATTCTGCTTTCTTTGCTACGAGATTTATGTAGTGCTACATATTAAACCTCCTACATTTTGATTTGCTGTGAAAGAGTAATAACTTCAGTTTATTCTCCCAAGTATCATGAACCTTATCATTGATTTTTTTTGTTGTTTCAACTGGATTGCTTATAGGAGCCTACATGTCTAAGTTGGTCAGTGATTATTATGAAAGAAAAGAGCCTATGTCTGTTTAATACATGAAACTATGCAGTATAAATGTGTTCTGTCTCTGATTCATTGTCAGGCATAACCTGGTTGGCCTTTAGGTCCTTTCCTGTTCTGTTCAACTCTTCATTCTTATGTGTTTTTCAAGCTATTCATTGCTACCTTGTTCATAACATAAGCTGTTTTTGGTCAAATGTTGTACCTTTTTTGGTACTGATTTAATACTTTTTTTTTTCTATACTGTGTCTACCTTCTATGTCAGGTTGGTGGTTTGAAACCATTTTATATTTTTAATAACTTCTAGATTTGTCACCTAGCTTTGGAGTTCCTATTTATCTATCTTGTCTACAATATCAAGCTGCTTGGCATAATGGCAAGAACATAAGCTTCACCCCTAGCTATACTATTTGTCAGAATTATTTTAGACCCTTTTAAATGGTCTCTTATACCCTCAAGGAAGAACTAGCTTGATGAGATGATCTTGTGTTTATGTGTTAATTTTTTTTTTCTTTTCAAGGATTAAAAAAATAGTTGGGGAGATCTTGCTTGGTTATTGTACTGAAAGAGCCTTGACATTTTAGACCAGTGTCCTGAGATTTTTTAGGAGAGGATTTTTTTCAGTCTGCTTCCATTTCTTAACTCTTAATTTTCCAATGCACCTATTTTTTAATACTGTATTCTTTTATCAGATTATATGGCTTATAATCTGATCATCCACTAGAATTGATTATATCCATTTTGTATCTTACAGCTTTGTTCTTTGAAGTGGTAAATGAATATTTTTCCTGCTGAGTTACTAACTACAACTGGGACTTAACACCATTTATATAAATGGGCTCCAGGGTTCATTAAGCTCTTCCCTTTGTTGTTATACATAATTCTCCAATTTTCAAGTTGCTTAAAATACTATACTGTTTTCTAGTTGGACTGTGTATATTATTTTTAGGATTACGGAGAAATTTTAGAACAGACAACACAGTCATAATAAAATCCTGGCCTACCTTTAGTGATATTCATTGGGTGACTTGCCAGAATGACTCTTGGTTATATAAAAATTGCGTTTTCTAAAATACAGGGTAGACATGGTAAAGGAGTGAAAAAAATGCCTGTTTCATGGAAGGAAGTTAAGAGGGAAGTTAATTTTTATATTGGCAAATTCCAGTTTTGAGAAAGTACAACCTAAAAAGACTAGGTTGGTGTAATCTCTTTACTCATTTTAAACGTGAATAGCTGCAAATACTGTTTACCATGATAGCACTCAAATAACTTGAGTTGTGTTAAGGTTTTTGAAGCAGTAGGTAAAATTAAGCTTCATTAACTAATTTTAAACTCTTTTTAGGTAAATGAATTGGTGGATGCCAGAGATGTCGGCCTTGGTGCTTGGTTTGAAGCACATATACATAGTGTTACTAGAGCTTCTGATGGACATTCACGTGGCAAAACTCCACTGAAGAATGGCAGTTCTTATAAAAGGACTAATGGAAATGTAAATCATAATTCCAAAGAGAACACAAATAAATTGGACAATGTACCCTCTACGTCTAATTCAGACTCTGTTGCTGCTGATGAAGACGTTATTTATCATATCCAGTATGATGAGTAAGTGCTCATGCTATTGAGGACTTCATTCATGTTTTTATTTATAGAAGCAAAGCCTTCCTTTTCCGGATTAGTCTTTCTGAAGAAGTCATTTAGAGATATTGTTCAAACCATTACATTTTTATTTTGTTTCTGTTTAGTGGTTGTAATCTAATGAATTAAGAGCTTTTTAACTCTCAGTCATCTTTGCCTCTTAAGTGGCTTGTTTGCAGTATCCTAATATGTGCCTTAATTTAGGATGTACAGGTTTCTGTCTTTTCCTCTATTATATTAGATTTTTTGATACATATATTTTTTCAGTGTTTTTAGGAAGTATTTTATAACATGTAGTGCAACAGCTATTAGAAGGAGGTAGAAATACTTTCTGAACAGCTTTCTGAGGATAACTTAGAAACAGCTTACCCATTTAATTAGTGTAATTTAATGTTTTTAACATTCACAAGGTTGTGCATTATCACAAACTATTTTTAGAACATTTTTATCTCCCTAAGAAGAAATCTCATGTTCAATAGCAGTTTCTCCCCAGCTGTCTTCTCCCAATAAAATGTTTACACATGTTTGAATGAAAATGATGTTAAGAACTTGCCTTGAGGGCCTAGATTCTAACACCAAATTATTGCCTTTATTCATTTTTATTTATTTTAATATTTATTTATTTGAAAGGAAGAGTTACAGGGATAGAGACAGAGAGATCTTCAATTCGCTGGTTTGCTCCCCAAATGGCTGCAGTGGTTAGGATTGGGCTGGGCCAGGAGTTTCATCTGTGTCTCCCATGTGCGTGCAGAGACCCAGTCACTTGGGCCATCCTCCACTGCTTCCCCAGGCACATTAGCCGAGAGCTAGATCAGAAGTGGAGCTGCCAGTACTGAAACCAGTGCCCATATGGGATGCTGGTGTCACAGGCTGCGGCTTAACCTTCTGTCTTATAACACTGGCCCCATCCTTTATCCATTTTAAAAATCCTAATGCAAAAGTTCTTGTAAATCTAAATCTAAACAAGCCATCACTTGTTACCAAGTGTAAAAATTTAAAAATCCCAAAATTGCTATTTTTCATTCATAAGATGGTATAAAAGACTTTCATGTCAGTTCAGATTTCCAAGATACTTAGGAAGAGTTCAAAAGTAGTACTTCCTGCTGCCTCCTTTACTTGTTAAGTAAATAAACTTTCCTCTAAGGGGAAAAAAAGTAGATTCTCTCTAAATCTTCACTTTTTTTGGTATTTCTGATGGTTGTGGCTAACCCGACAACTCTACTTATTGCAAATGAGCCATCACACTGATTTTTACTACAATAGGGGATAACTGAACCAACACTAAGAATGGGTATTAGGGTCTGGTATTGGCCAGGACTGGAAATATTGATCATTCAAGGATAGTATAGAAAGAGGTTGGCAGCTGGTGTTGTGGCACAGTGAGTTAAGCTGTCACCTGCAGCGTGAGAATCCCATATGGGCACCAGTTTGAGTCCTGGCTGTTCCATTTCCAATCCAACTCCCTGCTAATGCATCTGGGAAAGCAGCAGAAGATGGCCCACGTGCTTTGGGCTCCTGCACCCACATGGGAGACCAAGAAGAAGCTCCTGGCTTCTGGCTTTGGCCTGGCCCAGCCTTGGACATTACAGCCGTTTGGGGAGTGAACCAGCGGATTTAAGATGTCTCTCTCTCTCTCTCCTCTCTAACTGTCTTTCAAATAAATAAAATAAATCTTAAAAGAGCTTAGAGTTGTTGTATTGATTAAAAAGTAGCCACTGGATGTATAAATGCCATGTCAAGGAAGACAAGTTAGTACTATAGTTGAGGGACTTCATATATAAATAATAATATATAATAAATAATATAAATCTATATATAAAATTTTCATCTACTGTCAACAAATAATGTTTAAGTTCTTGACTGAGTTTTATCTCTTGGAAAATGGGAGAAATAGCTAGGAAAACTCTAGGACATGATTCTGGCCAATGAAGGAGTTAATGTTCAACATATTAAGAGAGGCATGCTTATAAAAATTATTTTGGAACATTGTGCACATATAGTACGTACCATTTTTTACATAACTTTAAAAAAGTGTTAATTTCTGGCTGTCAAGCTTTTGCAAAAATGGTACTATAGACCAGAGATTCTTTACTTGTCCATAAAGTGTGAGATTTGGTAATGTCATCTATTAGAATAAGAAATGCTTGCTTTTTTTTTTTTTTTGCATGGTATAATCAATAGTTTAGCTGCCTACAGGTTTTTGTATGTAGAACGCTGAAAGCATAATCATAAAAAAGCATTTTTGTTAATAGCTCTTGTGGAATTTTGTGTTCCCACATAACTGTTTAGGTCAGAGATTTTCAAGAAGAGATATAGCAAGGGGTTTCTTTTTCATATACATTGGTCATGGTTTATTATGTTTAAGAACTTTCATATAGTGTCTTTTCTATTTAATTGAGTATGCCTCCAAATAAATTTAGGGATTGTAATATCCCAAACACCCAAAACTTCCAACATGGTACCTGCTCCTCAATGAAAAATTGCTGTTTTAAGAATGTTAGTGCTAGCCGGTGCCGCGGCTCACTAGGCTAATCCTCCGCCTTGCGGCGCCGGCACACTGGGTTCTACTCCCGGTGGGGGCACTGGATTCTGTCCCGGTTGCCCCTCTTCCCGGCGCTGTGGCCAGGGAGTGCAGTGGAGGATGGCCCAAGTGCTTGGGCTCCTGCACCCGCGTGGGAGATCAGGAGGAAGCACCTGGCTCCTGGCTTCAGATAGGTGTAGCTCCGGCCATAGTGGCCATTTAGGGGTTGAACCAATGGAAGGAAGACCTTTCTGTTTCTCTCTCACTGTCTACCGCTATCTGTCAAATTAAAAGAAAAAAAAAGAACGTTAGTGCTGTGCTGGAAGTTAAGCCCCCTGCTTTGAAAATTCAAGGTAGGGAAGATATTTTTATGTTCCTAAGGGAAAACAGGAGGAATACCAAGGATAAAGAAGCATGAAGTTTGAGACTTCTTGAGAGATCAGAATGGTTAGGGTATAGAAGATTACAGTGAATAGAAAGAAATGAAACAAAGATAAACATAATTTTCGAGTTAAACGTGACAGATTAAGTTGTATGTTTGTTTCCTCTCCTTCCTACACACTCCTAGAATAAAAGGAAAAAAAAAAAAAAGGTTATGTAAATCCCTAAGAAGAAAAGAAAGAAGTCAAAAACACAAGAGAAAACAACAAAATTTAGAAAGGGGAAACACTAACAGATGAATGATACCTGTCTTAGCAGGCCAGAGAAAGCTGAAGCCTAGGAATGCAACAAGCAAGCAAATAAATTTGCAATGGAGAAGCTTGGGAAGGCTCAGCCTGAGATTCACTAGGAAATTTAGAAGTAGGCATATGGAATAGGATTGTGAACAAGGCAGTCTGTTAATTTGTATTGAAGAGCATTTTAACCACACCTAACCTACTAAGAGTTTAAACCAAGAAACCCTGGTATCCAAGAAATAGGACTCAACACATGAAGTAAATGGAAACAGATCCCAGAATGACAGGTGTACAATAGACAGGCCTGGTCCTACAGAGCAAGCTATCCAGATTGGAATAGGACACAGGGCTCCAGATGAGATGTTTTGAAGCCCAAAAGATTATTAGATATCTGAAATGTTTGCACATAGAATTATACAGCTGTTTAGAATGGAGATAAGTTAATGATAGGTACATAGAAAACTAAGCAACCGAAAATAGTTGTTAGGTATTTGAAAGAAAATAAAACTGTGGAAGAAAGGAAACATAGTTAAAAGATAACTGTGGATACTTTCATCAACGTTAAAAAAAATGGTTTTACAAACCACATGGTTTGTGTAATGGGCTTAAGAGAAAGAAAAAGTTTGCCAATGTTAAGATTATGGAGCCAGATGGTCAGACTTCGAACCATGTCCCTGCTTTTTAGTACTATCCAAGTAATTTAACTTGTGTCATCTGCAAAGTGGTGGCAGATAGTGCTTACCTCTCTTAAAAGTTGTTGTGGCTGGTGCTGCGGCTCACTTGGCTAATCTTCCGCCTGTGGCGCTGGCACCCTGGGTTCTAGTCCCAGTTGGGGCACCGGATTCTGTCCTGGTTGCTCCTCTTCCAGTCTAGCTCTCTGCTGTGGCCCAGGAGTGCAGTGGAGGATGGCCCAGGTGCTTGGGCCCTGCACCCCATGGGAGACCAGGAGAAGCACCTGGCTCCTGGCTTCAGATTGGCGCAGGGCACCAGACATAGCAGCCATTTGGGGGGTGAACCAACGGAAGGAAGACCTTTCTCTTTCTCTCTCTCTCTCTCTGTCTAACTGCCTGTAAAAAAAAAAAAAAAGAGTTGTTGTGCCTATGTGACCACTAAGAGTAGTGCCTTGTAAGTGTTAGTAAATACAAGGAAGAGGAGGTTGGAAGCTAGTGCACTATATATGAGAAATGAAGGGTAGCAGTAACAAAAAAGAAAAAAAAAGAAGAAGGCTATAAGCATATTTCAAAATATGGGGATAAATAAGGAATAGCTATTTAAAAATATGGGGATAAATAAGACATAGCTAAGAATTGAAAGTGATTACCTCTTGTGGTGGGCTAGGGCAGGAGACTTGCTTCTTTTCTTTTTATTTATTTGACAGGTAGAGTTACAGATAGAGAGAGAGACAGAAAGAAAGGTCTTCTCTCCGTTGGTTCACTCCCCAAATGGCCGCCATGGCCAGAGTTGCGCAGATCGGAAGCCAGGAGCTAGGTGCCTCTTCCCGGTCTCCCATGTGGGTGCAGGGGCCCAAGCACTTAGGCCATCCTCCACTACTATTCCAGGCCACAGCAGAGAGCTGGACTGGAAGAGGAACAACCAGGACTAGAACTGGTGCCCATATGGGATGCTGGTGCCGCAGGCGGAGGATTAACCTAGTGTACCATGGCACTGGCCCTGACTTGCTTCTTTTCATTGTAAGTCCACCTTCTCAATTCTGTACATGTGGAAACAAAAAACTTATAAAAATGGGAAGAGCCTTTTGTGTTTAGCTA